CCTTAGAAGAAGGTGGAAGCCTAAAGATAAAAATCTAAACTAATAGGATACTAATTGGGAGGGATGAAAGCAAGGCATGGTCGAATGAAGGCAAGAAATGGAGAACTTCATCTCTATTGGTCAAATACCATGTCCAATGTGCTTTGAGGAGGCTACCTATGACCTTAACAAAGATTTCTATAACTTTAAAGAAGGCATTTGGAAATTAAAAGCTAGATTTGTAAAGTTTAGAATTTGAACTACAATTTGTGAACAAAAATTAGAGGATTTGGAGTCATGATAAAGAAGATATAGCCATTTGAAGTTAAGATGTTAATTTAAGAGATACTGTTATTCTTTTACAGATATGAGGAGTTGTACGGCAGTTTTTGAAGATTAGAAGAAGTAATTAGAATAGAAATTTCAAGGCCTACATTTTTCATGAAAATTTTTTTGCTTTTGATGTTTATATGAAGGGGTTATAAGGAGTTGAAGGCAATGCTTCCAAAACAAAGGTAGTAAGTGAGTGATTTTATTTATAACAATAATTGGAGCCATAACATGAGTTTTCAGACGAATTTTTGGCTCATTTTTTTTGGAAAATATTATGTTTTATGTTAAAAAGCTATATATATGAATTTCGTAGCATTTGAGCTTATATTTTGTGAGATATGAAGAAAGTTGTACATAGGTCTATAAAGTTAAGGGTTTAAATTGACTATTAGGATTTTCAAGATATCTCAAGATCCACATCAAATTTATAGTTGAAATTTATTGTAAAAATTAATACAAATATATTAGTACTTCATCTAAAATTTGAATTTGTTTGAAGAGTCGGATTAAGAGATATGAGGTGTTGAAGTTTAGAAAAATTTCCACATAAGGATATATAAGGTTTTAGAGGATTCTATCATATTTTGGATGTTGTTGGTTACTTGAGGCTTATGTATTTGGTGTAATTGGTCAAAAAGGGAAATTTTAAATATAAACTTGGTCTTTCTTATATCAAGACTTGATTGAGTAATTAGTGACAGCGAAAAGCCCAGTGCTTTCTTGAAACAAATTCTTTCTACCCTGACAACGGATATAATATTCATGAACATACATAAGAACCAATAAAGAATTTTGTAAATACAATAAAAAAGGTTGTATTTTTTCATCAATAATATGCATAAAATTTAAGATGAAGAATAAAAAATCTTTTTTTTAAAAGAAATAAGATCTAGAAAAGATATCATTCTACATTCTATTCTTATTTGGTATTTTTGTACATTTGTGGCACTAAGGAGATGGAAAATCAACAACTAATGGATTGAACTCAAGAACTATTACTTATTGACTTATTAACTAAAATATTGTAATTGTCACAACCTTCAAAACAACATAATTGAGATGAAGATCTTCAAGAAAAATACATCTTTCTTTGAATAGATGGCAAGATATAAGGTGTTTGGTATCACGACCTTAGAAGAGACTCTTGATGTTTGGTGATTTTATTAGAGGTCAGAAAAACTCCTCATGTAGTTCCAAATGTTGTATTTGAAGAGATTTATGAAGGCTTCAAAAACAATCAAAAAAGAGAGTGGTCTTCTGGCCTTAATATACAATAGTATGAATGGCTAAGAAGACCTATCAACCATCTTTGAAAAAAACAAATATCAGAGTATGAGGCAAACATAATTTTTCATATCTTAGATTTCAACATATGATGACTATTCTTTATAGAATTTGTCTCTAAAAGAAGAAATAATATCATGAAAAAACATATTTATTCTAATATTTATCAATATGATTAAATAGAAGCATATAAAAGTAAATTTATTTCATAATATTTTCTATACAAGCTTCTTAGAAGGTTTATAGATACTGCTTTGATTTTACATATGTTTGTAGTTGATTGATAAGTTAAAAACTTGGTCAATAAATTAACTATATATTGATAGCTTGTAGAACAAGCTAACTATGTGGTGCACATATAAAAAACTTGCCTTGCAAGTTAAGATATGTGTCTTACAAAGTCAATATGTTTTAGAGGTCCTACATAATACCACCACATAGTTCTTAATTAAGAATATATATAGAAGTAAGAGTGAAGCCTTCTTCACTCTTGTTAATGCCTTTCTAGTCTTTAGTCTTATTTCAAGATTTTTTTGTCTTTTTGTCTTTGGCAATAGTCATTCTAATTTAATATTATATCATTTTTGAGTGATTTTTTAGTCTTTTCAAGTGACATGTGAGTGTATTAACATTTTAATTTTTTGAGGTTTATATTGATAATTTTGGACTTCATCAATATGTAATTACCACTCTTTATAAAACTTGTCTTTAAAAGAAATGATAATGTTATGGATATAACTAATACTTATGAATATTCAAATAGGAAGAGTTAAGTAGAAATTATTAAAAGTAGATAAATTTAATAATATCTTATAGAGAAGCTTTATAGATGTAGATTTGACTTTATTCATATTTATAGATGATTAATAGGTTGAAAACTTAGCCAACAAGTTGGCCACGTGGCACAAATATAGAAAACTTATCTTAAAAGTTAAATATATATTTTTTAAGTTAGGCCATGTTAGAAGTCCTATAAAACATTGTCACATAGCTCTTACTTAGATATTATATATAAAAAAGCAAGAGTGAGGCTTTTTTTTTACTCTTGTCAACTCTTTTATTGTTCTTAGTTTTATTTTAAGAGTCTTTAGTCTTATTATATTTGATAATAGCTATTCTAATTTTAATCTTATACTATTGTCAAGGACATAATCTTTAAAGAACTAAAAGGTCAATAAACTCTTGTGTCACTCAAAAAGATTGAAAGATCATTCAAAGATGATATAGTATTAAACTAGCATGGCTATTGCCAAAGTCAAAAAGTCTTGAAAGTCTTAAAACAAGACTAATGACTAGAAAGGCATTGACAAGAATGAAGAAGGCTTCACTCTTGCCTCCATGTATACTCTTAATTAGGAGATACATGGCAATGTCCTATAGGACCTCCAAAACATGTTGACTTTGTAAGATATGTATCTTAACTTACAAGGCAAGTTTTCTGTATGTCTGCCACATAATTAGCTTGTTCTATAAGCTACCAACATATGGTTAATTTTTTGAGCAAGTTTCTAACTTATTAATCAACTACAAAGATATATAAAGTCAAAACAATATCTATGAAGCTTCTAAAAAGCTTCTCTAAAAAATATTATGAAATAAATTTACTTCTATTTAATCATATAGAAAAATATTGGAATAAATATGTATGCCCATGATAACTATCTTTGAATAAATATATATTCTTTTCTAGTGACTCAAGAGTGTATTGATTCTTTCATTACTTGTAATTCATGTCCTTGATAGCCATTGAGAACTCCAATCTCTAACACATCCATCTTTTCTCTTGTTCATGTATGCTTCTCTGTTCCTATATTTTCAAGTTCTTCTATTCCTTCGTTTACATGTTTTTTTATTTTATATTTTTGATATTTTGTAGTTTTTATATCCTATGATTTTCATGTTTTTTATTTCATTTATTCAATGGTTCTCATGTTTTCTTATTTCCAAATTTGTTTCTACATTCTTTTAATTCTTTAACTTTTCTCTTTCATTGCCAATTAGAAAGCTTTTTTTCTCTTTGTATTATACCTCAGTTGTCTTATATAATAGATAGATTGTTAAAATCGTCATAGTAGCAAATGTATCCTTAATTTATTATATTTTTTAATACAAAATAAGTGCTTATAATCAAGAAAACTACAAATCATATTTTAAAAATATAAACATATTTATATTTATCTATGCTTTGAAAAAAATGATTTTAAAATTATATATGTTTTAAAATAAGAATTAATAAAAGATATTCTAGAAATAACTAATAAAAAATATTAATAAATTATAAAAGTATAATATTTATATAAAACAAAAAATTATAATTATTCATTATTAAATAGTTTATAAATAAATAATAATATATAAAATACATTAAAAATCTATTTATTATAAAAGACAAAAAATATATATAACATAAATTTATGTTATTTTAAAAGAAAAAATAAGTATTTTGAAACATATGTAAATAAAATTGATATATAATATAATTGATAAAAATAAGTTTAAATAAAAAATATATAATTGCTTATAAAATAAATCTAAGTATAAAATAAAATTTTATATTAAAAAATTATTAAATTAAACCATTGATTTACCATTAAAGAATCTTATAAGAATAAATTTTGATTTATAATCTAGATAAAAATAGCATAATAACAAGATTCAATAATATTATTAATATAATAATACATGTGAATAATGACAAGAGTGATGAATAGCAACAACAACAAAAAACAACAATAGCAACAAAGCAATAGATGCTATGAATACTAATATTGCAATTATTATATACTAAATAATAAAAAAATAAAAAACACGTTTTTTTATATATTTTTAAGAATTAGAAATGTTTGTATTAGATTAGGATTTGGAAATTCTAGCTACTAATTTATAATTAGATTTAACTATAATATTATTGTGCCTATTAATCAACTTATTTAATATGAACATTTTAGAAGACATCCATATATAAAACACAATTTGCAAAACAAGAGAAAATGATGATTTTTCAAAGCACTTTGGTTCGACCACAACTAAATTATTTTTATAAACTAAAATAATTGAGAACAATGTTTTAAAGACAATTCAAATTTATTTAATTCCTTAAACAAGCTAAAATCCAAGTAATTTTTTTTTTTTTGTAGTAAAAGAAGTATACTTAATATTTATTTAAAATAATAGAAAAATATTTTGAATTGAAACATTATAATTAACATCTTTAAATTTATATATATATATATATATATATATATATACACATATATAATTTATATAATATAAATTACAAATAAAAATCACCTTATTAAAAGTGGTATGAATTGGCTTGGTTTTTGTGTTTAGGATTTGATCTTTTTCAGTACAATGGATTCAGTTCCTGGATAGGATAACTACTCATCCACAAGCTCTAAATTCTCAAACCTTTAACCTCAAAACCCTAAATATGAACTACACCGAGCATAGTGAGGGCTCACTAAGCTGATTTTGACGGAAATCGACGAGGGTTCTAACCTCAGAGCCAGAGAAATTCTCATTGTCACCGAAAGCCGAAGCGTAAGTGTTATTGATTCCTGAGATCTTGCATGTAGCTGCCCTTGCGCATTGCAAGCCTCTTCCATGAAGTAGATGAATCCACCATTGAACCCACAAGGGAAAAGGAAAAACAATGGAATCTTGTATCCACCGATGCAAACCTGCGTGTTAACTTGTTGAATTAGGAGCACTAATCACGATTCGCAACGTCCAATTGCTTCGATAAAAAAAGGCAAGGGGGACACAGCCGACAGGTGGGTCCTCTCTTCAGGAATAAACAGTACCGGTATCATGCATAAAGTTCATGTTTTGCAAGGAACATAGTTGAATGTCTGATATGACGATGTTAGAGGTTTTTTCTCGCAACTGGGTTTGGCGGGTGGTCAGTATTAACCTCGAGGCACATAGCTCCTCATCTGTGACCATTGTGCATTGTGGCCTATAAAGGTCGCTGCAGTCTTGAGACCTTGCAAGTTCACAAAAGCTGGCACTATGGCACCGAAGTCAGCAACGAAAAAAAAAGCAAAAAAGGTAGCTCACTGCCCTTACTTTTTATTATGTGTCAGACCCTCACATCTGAGAGCAATGGAAAGATCCAATTCCTGTTGCAATTTTTTCTTTGAGTTGCCCCTTTCCAGTGGATGTTGAACAGCAATTGCATAGCTAATAACTGACCTAATTTTTAGTCTTGCCGTAAAAGAAAAGAAGCAAAGCCCAGTCAAATGGATTTTGGACCATTCATTTTTGTTGGTTCATGTTCCATTTTGGAGTACATGTGTCTTGTATGACCTTTTGGTTGACATTAGCTCGGTCTGAATGTAATTGTTGGGTACGACATTTGTTACAGAAGCCCCTCACAGAGGAGGAGAAGAAGGCAAAAGCCGACTTCGATGCACTCAAGGTAAACTTCTCTACCTCGTTCACTTTTTACTTCATTTTTTGTGAAGATCTGGTTGCTGCATCCTCTCCATCCTCCATTTTTTTTTGTTTATAAAACATTTCTGTTACGGATTGCATTTACTTCTGTTGCACATGATTCAATGTTTACAAGGAATATTTTGCATACTAGGGCACTCCTCCTAATAAGCTCCACCCAATTAATCACAGGCTGTAGAAATGAGGAAGAAAGCTATAAGGGATCGCAAATCGGCATTCAAGAATGCTATGGTATGTATTTGCGTTTGAGAGGTTACGATAATGTGTTCAGCAATGCATGTGTTTTTGATAACGTCTGCAATCAGAAGTCATATCCATGTCTTCAATCACTGATGATGTTGACCTTCAGATTGACGAGGAGAAACTCTCAGTGAAGAGTATGCTGGAAATTCACAAAAAGTGGAGGAGCATCTTGCGCATTGCCAAGATTAAGGAGCAGCGCGATGACATTGATTGGTTGACTAAGAACCACGTGCGCCAGGTGGGGCTGTGAACAACCTTTTTTGTTACTAATTCGAATGCGTTACCGATAATATAGATTTAGTACTCAACTTACAAGTGAAAGCAGGTCAATAAATATCTTCATAAAAGAGGTAAGATCCCACATGTGTCATGACTATTTTCATGCTGTGACTTTTGCAGATGGAATTGAAGGATCATATAATAGGGTTGTACCGGGAGCAATTATATGAATCGGAAGCACAACGGCGTAGTGCTCAAATTAAGCACTTGTCAATGCTTGATGCTTCGATTGATATCCATTACTTGCGCACTGCGGTGATTCCACTAATCCTCAATTCTTACATCTCTTCGTCAATCTGAAGGTCGACATCATTAGTTATTAACATATTGTCGTGAATCTGAGAGAATAACTACTTCTCAACATCCCTGCTCTTTTTCTTGATTCGATTTTCTTAGTTTCGATACAAATTAATTGCAGTGCAATATTCTGAGATGTTATTGTAGAAGATGGAAGAGGAATTTCAAGAGCAGGTTAAGAACCTGGAGGACTCCTTCATGACCGAGAGGAAGCTCATGACAACAAATTTTTCGAATGAGAAAAAGGTAGTCACAAACGCTTCCACAGCGAATTTCTATGTGAGGAATCTGTTCACTCACATCTGAAGAATCACATGTATTGTATTGGGGTAAATGCAGGAACTCAAAGACGTAATTCTAGCAATGAAAGTTCAAGCTGAAGAATCGATTTATGACAGAAGACAAGTATATGAGGCAACTCGAGAAGAACTCAAGGCGAGTTTGAATTGCTTGTTGTAGTTTGCATTTTTTCGAGATCAACACTAACATCGTGCTTATAAAGAGTTCTCGTCTTTCTTTTGGAGTAATCCTGAATCAAAACAAGTTTATCAGAATTCATAAAAGATTGAACTTGTTTTGATGCAGAACAAAGATATTGAAGAATTTAACATGCTAAAAATCACTCTTGAGCTTGGAGTAGAGGAGATAGAACGGCGGATTGAGCGGACTCATAAGGTCCTAAACAGAACTTTCTATCTTAGAAGTATTGTACATTACAAATCTTTTGAGCAGTTGCGCTTTGGTAAGCAAGGTGTCTGTATGACTTTATAGTAGACTCCAATTCAATAAAAGCTTTTTGTTGTTTCCATGACAAACGGGAACAGTCATACCTAGCTAATACAGAAGCGACAACCATTTCGTTCAAGAATTTGGTTGCCAAGGATATCGTAAAGTCGCACCTCATTGAGCGTCGGATGCGCACTCTCATCAACTTGCATGAAAACATTTCATATTGGCGGGTCCGCATGGTAATTCAAGGGTAGGTGGGTTCACGCTACCCCTAAACTCTGACACCATTTCATGTGAAAATTCAATCGTACGGATGAATAATTTGTTATCATCATTGCTGGAGTGTCGATGGTGATTGTGCGAAATGGCTGGTATGGATAGGAAAGAATTTAATAAGGTGAACCAGAAGATGAAGGACGAAAAAGAATGCTTGCTGAATCACTATACCGCTTTGAAGCGTCTTTTGGGTAGAATTAAACATCATGAGCGTGATAATCTCAAGGTACTCAATCATCACGACATTGTCAAAACTTGCCAGAAGAGATGGGAAGCATCTTAGCTATAATGTGAGCATAAGTATAATAAAGCATGACCCAAATATTGCATTCCACGGCCGTTGACAGATTGTCACTGCAGGAAGTTTCTAGGAATGTTTCAGACGCGAAGAACCATCTGATGGACAAGTTGGTGGTCGCTCAACGGGTTCTTCACTTGGCTAAACGGGCGAACAAAGTAAATCTCAGAACCTTCTCTAAATTTCAAGTCTATATCTGAACGATCTTCTTTAAATGTTGCCTTGAACAATTTCCACCTGTGGTACCTAAATACATTTCTACCAACTTATCATCAAAACAGATTCTAGAGTTAATCAAATGCTGGACCTTTTATGAACACAGCTAAGGGCTTGACAACCATTGGATTTTTTGGTAAGCAGCTTGAAACAGAGCATGAGAAGATCTTTCCATTCGAGCCATTGCATTGTTTTAATATTCCCACAGTACCTGGTCTGGTCCTGGATCGAGAGCTGGCTGAAGACGAGAGTAAGGTCCTGCATTCCTATCCAACTTCATTAACGTCTATCGAGTATTTGCCACAGAGAATTCAGGGCTTAATTTGGTCTCGAGAGGTGGGACGAAATATATCATAAAAACATTGCAAATTCTTCCCAATGTGAATCCAAAATCGTTGATTTATTTGTGTTACCTTGTGTATGCAGCAACCAAAAAGTCGGAGGCAAAAATGTTGGGGCATTCAGTGGCCTTGCTAGTGCCAACCCAGTTTCAAGTCGAGCCAAAACCCCCAGAAGTAATAAATGGCAAGAATCCTTTCCACTGGGGAACGTATGCTCTCGATGAAAACGGCAATGAAGTGGAAGAAAGTCACTATATGGCCAACTTTAACAAACGCTTTAACAAGGTGCAATTGCATAACCATAACTTCATATCGTTCCTATCAGAGGCGCTATCTGATTCAAATCTCCTTTTGAGATTTCAATTCCCGCGGTTTGAACACGAGATGACACATGTTAGTTCTGTTTCTTGACGTTAACTGAACACGAAAATCTGGCCTGGTAATGCTTGGTGAATCTGACATATGACAAGAAAAGTGCAACAGGTTAAGCTTGACTTACTGACCATTCAGACGGAAAGGAATAGACTAAGCGAGGAGAATTCAAAGCTTATTAATGGCTTGCAAAAGTATATGGATAGCCAAATTATGCCCAAGTGACTGAGGAGACAACGGAGTACTTTGGTGGTTAGTTATCTCTTCCCTAATGGCATCATGTATATATATATATATATAATTCTAACTTTATGTGCTTCATGATGACTCAGATCCACCAAATAAGAGTTAACAATGAGAAGATAAATTTGGTGATACTCCATGCTACTTACTGAAGAAAAATTGACTACATTTTGGAGCAGATCATATAGAAGAAACCACAATTGCTTCAACTAACCGCTGCTTCATGGTGTGGATCTCCACCGATGAAGAAGCCGCCATCGAGCTAAAGAAGAATGCTAATGTCTATAGAAGAGCTCCTACTTTAATTTATCTTACAAATCAATTCTTTATAGTCCATACATCATAAAATTCACTTCCTTATTTAATTTCCAATTCCTTGATTTATTTATTTATTTTATTATTATAATTATAGAGAAAAAAATATACATTGATTATTGTTGCATATCTCACACAATTTTTAAAAATATTAAAATCCTTTGTACTCTTCTTGAAGTAAGTGTCAAGGATAAAAACATGATAAACATAAATAAATAAATAAGTGAGATTTCTCTCAAAGAAAGATGACTAAATAGAAATGATTTGATATGTATATTAAGAAAGAAATTGGAATGGTTATTGCCAAAAGCCAAGAAAATTACAGACCCTTGAAACTAGATTGGAAGCAAGAAAGGAGTTGATAAGACTGAAGAAGGCTTCATTCTTGTCTCTATATATACTATCTAATTAGAAAGCTACTATCAAGCTTCATCAAACTAAGTTAAAGCAGCATCTATCAAGCTTTTAGGAAGCTTCCATATCAAATATTATAGAAGCAACTTATTTTTATCTATTTTTATTTACTTCTACCTATTTATATATATAATTATTGGTTTACATGCATATGTCCATGACATTACTCCTTTTCTAGGGATGAGTTCTACGAGGAGTGGTCATCATATGTTGAGGAAATATATGATGCAACGAATTGTATTCGCCACATATTCTAATCTTTGTTCTCTTCAAAGATGATTGATAGGACCTTTCAACAATTGGTAGTGTCCTAGAGTAGGGCGGGAAGACCACCCAATTATTTGATCATTGTTGAGGCCTTCATAACTTCCTTCAAATAAAACATTTGGAATACCATCAGAAGTTGTTCCTACCTCTAGTAAAATCACTAAACATCAGGGGTCCCTTCTAAGGTCTTGATATCAAACACGTTATATTTCACCATCTATTCGAGGAAGAACATGGCATTCTTGAAGATCTTCATCTCAATTGCGTCGTCTTGAAGGTTGAGACAATCGTAATGTCTCGTTCGACAGGTCAACAAACAAAGGTTCTTAAGTCAAATCTATTGGTTGTTGGTTCTCCATTTCCTCAACGTCACAACTACAAAGAAGCTACAAACAAGGATTGAAAGTAGAATGTTATCTTGCTTAGAACTTGTTTCTTTTATAAGGAAGGTTTTCATCTTGATTTTGATGGATGTCGTCAATGAAAAGCCTCCACTGCCTTTGTTACATTTGTAAGATTCTTTACTGGCTCCCATGTGCCAATGGACAAGATATTCTAATTTATTTTGACGCTGCCTTGAATCTAAGAATTCTTTCACTTCAAACTCTTCATTATTGTCCACTTTTATAGAAGGAGGTCGAGTTTATCTTCTTCTTGGTATGTCCACTGTCTTGTATGGTTTAAGAAGAGACACATAGAATATTAGATGGATTTTCATTGATTTAGGTAAATGTAAACGAAATACAACTAGATTCATTTGTGCAGAAATAGAAAATAGTCCAAGCCTTCGATAGTCCAACTTGTCACAAAGATGAGTGGTCTTGATATTGTGACAAAGTAACCATACTTTATTACCCATGTGGAATGGTAGTTATTCCTTTCGATAGACATCTGCATTGACCTTTTGTTGTTCTTGAGCTTCTTTTAACTGTGCCTTCATTGTTGCATGTAGCTCAGACAAATGAATTGCCAAATCTTTTGCAGCATGATTATCAACTATTGAAAAGTCAAAAGTATCAAGTCGTGGATGATAATTATAATTGACAAAGAAAGATGTTTGTTTTGTAGAAGAATGTATCGTGTTATTATAAGCAAACTCTGCCAATGGAAAAAGAGTTGTCCAATCATCTTATTGGTAGTAAATGATACATCTTAAATACTGCCCTAAAACTTGATTAACGCGCTCTATTTGTCCATCAGTTTGAGGATGGAATGTCAAAGATAGTTTTATATCCACTTTTAGAATCTTGAAAAGAATCCGCCAAAATCTTGATACAAATTGAATTCCCTTATCTAATATAATATCCTTGGATAATCCATAATAACAATAGATATTGCCAAGAAAGATCTTAGTTGTTTCTTCACATGTGATAGATTTTGTACATGGTACAAAATATGCCATTTTGGTTAAACGATCTACTATCACAAATATAGAGTCATAAGAACTTGAGATTAGAAGATCTATGATGAAATCCATAGAAACAGAAGACCATGGTTGTTCTCGAATGGATAATGGCTGAAAAAGTCCATAAGATCGATGACAAGGAGTTTTTGATCTCGAGCAAACATCAAAAGATTGTACAAAATCTTTGACTGTTTTCTACATTTAAGGCCACAAAAAGTCCCTAGATATTAGTTCCAAAGTTTTATTGTAGCCAAAATGTCCTCCTGCTACAAAGCTATGACAAGCATGAAGAACACGTAATCGAGCTTCACCTTCTGGAACATATAGGCGTCTCTCAAAATATAGTAGATTCTTCTTGAATAAGTATTATAATTCAAACTTGAAAGTATCATGAGACTTTGAAGGATTTTCCTTAATATCATGAATAAGAGGATCAAAAGACATACTTGATTGAACCTGCTTAATGAAAGTTGAATCAATAGTTAGTGTTGATTTCATTGCTCGAAGATAAAGATGCTCTAGCTTCAAGAGAAATGTCTGTTGTTGATCGAAAGCAGCATCTCTTTCCTTTGGTACAAGGTAAGATCGTCTAGAGAGTGCATCTAACAAACCTTGTTGTTATCGTGGTCGATAAGTGATCTTGAATTCAAATCTTGACAAAGACATATTCCAATGGGCTTGGTGACGATTTAAAACAAGTGTTGACATAAAATATTCAACGTTCTTGTGATCCGTATATACTGTGACTGGGCTAGAGGTACCTTCTAGATAATAGTGCCATTCTTCAAATGAATCCTTGATTGCAAGAAGTTCATTGTCATAAAACTTGTAGTTGATCTCGGCTGCTGAAAATTTTTTGGAATAAAAAGCTATTGGATGAAGTTTATCATTTGTTCCCATTTGTGACAATACGACACCCAAAGCAAAGTCTGATGCATCTGTTTTCATAAAAAATGGCTTAAAAAAATTGATGCGATACAAGATTGGTGCAGAAACAAAAGCTACCTTCAAAGCTTCAAATACTACTTCAACTTCTTGATTCTATTGAAGTTTGTTTTTACAAGTCAAACATGTAAGTGGAGCTGCAACTTGAGAGAAGTCTTAATGAACTTCCAATAGTAGTTAGCAAATCCCAAAATGCATTAGACATCTCTTATCATTTTTGAAATCTTTCAATCTATAATAATTTGAACTTTCTTAGGATCCATCATAAGTCCATCATTTGAAATGATGTATCCTAAGAAGTCGACTTGGGTAGTATAAAATACACACTTTTCTATCTTAGCATAGAGTCTTCCATCTTTTAATTTTTGTAATACATGACGAACATGAAGTTTATGTTCTTCTATGTTCTTAGAATAGATTAAGATATTGTTTGAGTAACAAACAACAAAATCATCTAAAAACTTCTAAAAGACATCATTCATTAAATGTTGGAATGCTGCTGGTGCATTTGTAAGTCCAAAAGGCATGATGTTGTATTCGAAATGTCCATACTTTGTTCAAAATGTAGTCTTCCATTCATCTCTTTCTTTGATGCGTACCAGATTGTATGCTCATCGTAGATCTATTTTTGTATAGATCTTAACTTGATTCAACTGATCAAGAAGTCCAGATATCAAAGGTAGCAAGTATCTATTTTTGATAGTGATTTTGTTGAGTCCTTGATAATCGACACACATCTGCATTGATCCGTCTTTTTTCTTCACAAATAAAATTAGAGCTCTTGCTAGAGATTTGGAATAGCATATGAAGTTCTTAGATAGATTCTCTTCAATATACTCCTTAAATTCAGCCAACTTATTTTAAGATAAATTGAAGATTGATCCAAATGGCGGTTGTGCTCATTCTTGAAGATCAATTGAACAGTTATAAGAACGATGTTTTGAAAGAGTATCCGCATTTTTTTTCTCAAATATATCTTAAAAATCTTGATGTTTGCTTGGAATGCCACTTGAAGTCTTTCTACTAATAGAAACAGGTGTGGCATAAATGACACAAGGTGATCTTTCTTTTGCAGCATGCAAGAAAGCTCTTGCATCTACAAATATAGGTTTAATTATACTAGACTTATGACTTTCTATTTAATTAATTACACTCTTAGTTATACTTTCAGAAAAATCAAGACTACAAGAAGTCTAATCTATTTTAGGATTATATTTTTTTAGCCATGATAAATCTAAAATGATTGGAATAGAAGGAGATCTAATGATATTAAATATTATAAAGCTACTATAACCAATAATTGCTATTTCTATAGGAAGGGTTTCATGGGTAACATCTCGTGAAGACAACGGATGACCATCTATGACTTTTACATAAATATATTTAGTTTTCTTTACTAAAAATATGCTATGTCTTTTAGCAAATTTTTCATCTAAGAAACATGCTGAGGCTCCTGAATCTAGCAAGGCAAAGGCTTTGAGATGTTTATGTCCTAAAATAATATTTATCGTAAAACATGGAGAGGATTCTGAAGAGAGGATAGGACCTTCACTAGGCGTTGTACAAGGTTCCTACCGCACGGTCTCTATTGTAGCTGGACAAATTCGTTTTCTGACATGCTATCTTTTTTTATCACCATACTCCTCATTTTATGGTTGTGTCGCTTCTTTGGACAATGTTGAGCATTATGCTTAGGTTTTCTACAATATAAGTAGAATCCTCGTTGACGATGATGAGTCTTTTCTTGCTTAGTAAGAAATTTGAAACGTACTGCATCAATTTACATATCCTCTACTTCCAAATGTATGTGTTGAAGAGGTGTTGGTATTGCCATTGAATTATAGTAACGTTGAGGTCCACATGTACGGTTCTTAGATCCGAATCCAAAAAGGTGATTGTCATATTTCATAACAAAATCAATTGCTTGAGTGAATGTTTGAGGATCAGGTAAGTTGAGCATTAATTTTTTTTTACCTCATATTGTAATCCATAGAAAAATTGGCTAATAAGTGCAGCATCATCCCACTTGATATCAATTGCAAGTTGTCAAAATTGTGAAGCATATCATGTTACTGATCGATTATTTTGTCGTAAAATACAGATCTT